TGGTTATAGAACTCAAACAACCTTCCTTAAAAAAATTACAAAATACGCAACCATTGGATCAAAGCTGTGTATGTAATTGATATTATACAAAGAAATAGTGGTATTAGTTATACGCAATTAATTTATGGGGATCTCGGTAAAAAAAAGTTTAATATAAAGGGATTTAATTGCATAAATTTTATATAACAGGGATAATTTTTTTTCACGAAATCCTTTCGAGGACTAGAAATTGTAGAAAAATTAATTTTGTGACCAAAATAACTTTTTTTGACAATTACAAAAAATAAATTGAAACATTTTGACACATTGTTTTTTATTAGGTATTAAATATATTGATAAACCTATAAACCGTATAAATTTATTGGGTAATTTTTTAAATAAATATGAACATAATATTTTTTCAATTTAGAAAAAAAATTAAATAAATAAACAAGGTATCCAATCCATTGCCATTTTTAACTAGGTATCTGTTACGATATTTTTATCATTCTCTGCGACTAACGATACTGCCTTTATTTCACGAGACTCGGAGAATGTAAAACTTGTCTTGACACATAACATGCCTAATAAGGTAGCAGACTTTTGGCTTAATATATTTAGAAAATTATGAATTTTATATTTTTTAAACGTTTTAACTCTTTCTTTCAATTTTTAAAAGAAATGTCATGTATTAAGTTTTAGTAACAATCCTAGCATAGATAAATTTTTTCAACATAAGTTCCAATTAAAACTGAAGTAACACGTGATGGAGAATGACAATGAGATTGAATATGTCACGTGAGATTTCATGTGGTATTATAACATATACTAAAAGCAAATAAGATTTTATTGTAACTAAGGCTATGCTATAGTGAAACCAAAACGACGTCGTTTTGTGTCTTTTAGACTCAAAACGATGCGGTTTTCTCAAAAAAATAAATGATTTTTTTATCAATTTATCGGGATTTTACACTTTGATCTTCGAAGTTATTACTTTATATAAAACGGTTCTTAATTTTAATTAATATTATCGAAAGATCTCTATCATATTTTTTTTAGGATTGGGTTTTTTTCATTAATTATTTTTTAATCAAAAGAACTTTTTTCCCATCATCAATGGTTACTTTTTCTATTTTTAGAAATATTCATGAACTAAAATTAAATATTCTTCTAATATAAATTGATTAAACACCTCCTTCTAATTGGATTTTTTAAAAATAAATAATTAATTACATATATTTTTTATCTATCAAAATAAAAAATATTCCTAAAAAATATTTAAATTCAATATATATATATATATATATATATATATTAAATTAAATATTTTTTTATAATGAGTATTAATTAATTTTTATTTTATATTTATATTTTAAAATTATTTAAAATATAAAAATATCGATATGATAAACTTATTTGTAGCAAAGCATACGTATTGAGCTAGTATTAACTGAAATTAAATACCCAATTAAAAAAATCCTAATAATACCACTGACCACCACCTCTCATCACCTTTCCTTTACCACCAGCCACCAACCACACCTTCTTTTTACTATCAGCCACCACCTTCACTGCCACACTCCACAGCCCCAAAACAAACCAAAAGCCACAAAAAAGAAAAATAGCTCCATTGTCCTCTTCTACAGCCCACCATCTTCTTCAACAAAACAACACCAACCACCATACCCATTGCTGCCTTCATCGTCCTCGTCCATAGCCCACCACTGCTCTTATCTTATCGCTAGACCCACTGCAACATAGCCCACCACTAGCTTCATCTTCAATCTCTAGCCAACCACCACACGCACCACTAGCTTCATCTTCGTCGAACCCACTGTAACACTAACCCACCACTAGCTTCATCTTTGCGTTAGACAATTAGTTGCCTCTAACTATCCCATATACCCTTTCTTTCAAAACTCTTCATGAAAACCCCAAATCCCTTCATTGAACTTACAATTAACTTAGTAAGTGTTTCTAGCAAACTTGATTAGGTCGCCTCACTCCTTCAATCAATTAAATGCATCAAATCTTTTTTTTGGCATAGTTATAACTCATAAAGTATTCGAATTGATGTGGTTTCGGTTTGGTTGAAGAAAGGATGGCTAGATGACAAGAAAGATGACACTGTCTAGAACTTAGTAGCTTATGGAGTAGACAATGTAAAGACAGTAAGGATATGCAAGAACGATATGTTTTAGAGATAACATTTGGTGGGGAGCAAGTCTAGGATGACAGTGGGGTGAGGAGGAGATGGTGATGGAGGGGAAGATGAACAGTCCCTCTTGGCTGACCGAAGAAGGGGAGGAGGGGTGCCGAGCGTCGTGGTGGTAACTGGTAAGGAGGTGGGCTTGATTTATTTATTTATTTTTAATTGAGTTAGGGAGGTTAAGGAAGGTTTGACAATTTTTTTTAATCGGGTATTTATCAGTTAATAGGTCATGTGGATCCCACGTGACTTATTAAGCTCGATTGTCATACTCCATCACGCATCTCATCAATTTTAGTCGGATTTTAAGTTGAAAAAATCACCCGTGTTAGTATTGTTACCAAAAGTTTATGTCTTGACTTTTTATCAAAATTGAAAGAACGAGTTAAAATTTGTGAATTTCTAATATATTAAGCCAAAACTTTTTATTGATAAGCCAAATCTAAATTAATAAGAGCTGTGTTGATTAAAATTTAGTTGTGAGGTTCATGCCATTTTCATATTAAAAATTCAAAGGATAGTATTTTTTTTTGAAAATATTTTCAAGAATACCCAGTTCGGTATCATTAACAATTTTTAGAAATCAAATACCTGTATTTAACAAATAATATTAAAATTTATTTATCTATAAATAATTCAAAACAATCTATTAAACATTATAAAAAAGAATATAAAAATATGCTTGATAAATGATACAATCTCAATAAAAACAAAAAAACTAGTTTAAATCACGGACTCCTTATATATCGTAAGTTTGAATTTTTATATACTAGTACTAGCTTGTTAATTCAGTATGATTGAGTTAAAAAAAAATCATGAATCATACAATAATATGAAAAAGATTCACATCTAAAAAAAAAACACGGATTATTTGTTAAAAAATATATATTTTAACTTATTAACAAAAAAACCTAAAAAAACTAAGGTGTCCACCGTCCATCATTGTTCATTTATTGTATATTAGCTTTTTTGTTATTTTCTTGAACTTTCGTGGGCAATAATATCAAAATTATACAAATTTTTATATTTTGATCCGTAATATTTTTGAACATTTCGTTTCAACTCATATCTTCGATATATTTTGATCCCTAAGTGTAGAGAGGAGGGAGGAAAAAGGAGAGAGACAAGAGGAGAGAGAGCGACAACCAACCTTATTTAAGTCATTTTGGCTGGTGAAACTTCATTAAATTTATATATATATATATATATATATATATATATATATATATATATATATTTGAAAGATGAGTTTATTCATAGTGGTTTTAAGTCAATAAATAATTAGAGGATGTAGATCGGAGTAAAAAAAAAATTCGGTTTGATTATGCTTTTTTTTTTTAATGTGCATTAAAATGATTTTTAAGGCATTAAAAATATTTATTGACTTTATTTCGATCATTTAGAGATATTTGAGAGAAAAAATAATGTCGAAATTGAGTTTCTTGAAGTCTAAAAATTAACTCTTAATTTTTCAACGAAGCTATCGGCGAGCTCAAGGTTGCAGTTTTTTTTTTAGGTGCTAGCCTGGCTACTCATGCCTAACCCCTTTGTTTTTTTTTTTTTTTGGGCGCACCAGCAGCCCAGGCCTAAAGTGGAGAAGCAAGGTGAAGCAGCCTAGCACACAGGCTTGGCTGGCAGGCCCACCCATGCTGGGCTGGCCTGGCTGCACATGCTAGAATGTTTTTTTTCATCTAATAATTTATTTTTATATTTTTTTTATTATGTAATTAGGTGTGAAAATGTAGAAAATACATCTTTATTTTTTTAGTTATACATATAGTTTGACGTGGTAGAATATATATGATTTTTTTAATATTTTAGTTTGAGTATATATATTTGATTATATTATTCTTATTGTTTAAAATTTATTTATTCAATTGTTTGTTTCTTATTAAAATTCTTATCCAATTAATTTTTAAATTTTTTGATATAATTTTATTTGTTAATAATTTTTTTTTATAAATGGATTTGAAATAAAATTTTAGAGCGTGATTGTTTTATTTTTTAAAATATATTATTATAATTAATACGATTGATTATTTTTATGATTTTTAAATGAGAATAGTATAGTTGCATGTATAAATTATGATGTGAGAGAGAGAGAAAAAAAGTATGTTTTAGATAATTTGATTCGTTTTATTTAAAAAATTAATAATTAGTTAAAAAAAGAATCTGTAGATTTTATTTGCTTATATATATATATAGTTTTGTTATAGATTAATTATATATCTACACAGATAACATCAATTATTTGTTTTTTTTGTTTTTTTCATGTTCTAAAATTATTATTTTTAAATAAAATAATTTAATTAATGTTTTGAAATAATCTTCCAATTACACTTAAATACAATTTTTTTATGCTAATATTATAAATTATTTTGTTAGTATATATATAAAATATAATTTCGTTCAATATATAGATTCGATTTACAATTAGAAACAAAACTTCTACTCACAACATACCATACAAATCATTAACCTTATGTATAAATGATTATCTGATTGCAATATTAGCATGAGTATCTAACCAATAGATTTGATTTACGTTAATGATCTCAAAGAGATGTAGATATTTTGATCTTGTGCATTAACATTTAACCATCAGGCATTCTAACCATGGAGGATCAGTGTAGAATTTTTGCACAAGTTCAAAACATATCCCATCACAAAAATATAGTGTTGCTGATGGATGGAAACAAAATGAAGTTGAACACAGCATAGAATAATCTCATAACAAAACCTTTGTCCCCACTCCAGTCACGTCTCTCCTCGCTATCCGAGATCCTCGTTTATATCACAACAACGAGGAGAGATGCACCCTGCGCGTGGGCACCCTAGCTATAAGAAAGGACAGAGAGGCGAGAAAAGAAATAGAGTAGCATTAGTTGTAGTAAATATTTGCTATCGCAATTGCTCTCACCCCCTGTCTCTCGCTCTAAGCTAACCTCTGCGTTAATTTTGTTTTTGGTCTATTGTACATTTGTACGAGAAAACCAGCGAAGGAGAAGCCACTGGGCACGATGGCATCAGGAGGCTTGGCAGGTCATTTCTCACATTTTTGTTTCTTCTTCTTATTATTTCTGCTGGATACGTACTCACAATTAAAGGTGGTTGCTTTATCTTTTTTTTTTTTTTTTGGGTTCTCTTTCACAGTGCTTGTCATTTCATATTTCTTGGCATCTGGGTTTTGCTTTTCTTATACCACATTTTTTTTTTTTTTGGCTTTTTCATGATGAACCTTGACAAAGAATGTTGGGTAATTGTTGAAATTTTCTGGATTTTCTCTTGACTATTTTAGACTATGTACAATATAATGCATGTAAGCACATTTTATTTATCATGTTTTTTTTTTTTTTTTATGTTGTTAATTTGTCATTTTCTAGAAATGAGTTGTTATGACACCAAATAGTAGAATGAACTTTTACTGTGGTTTCTATTTGTTGTAACCATCGATTCATCAAATTTTAATAATGTTTTTATAGGACTACCTGGAATTTGGCAAACTTTATGTGAAATGGAATAATGAGATTATGAGCCCTTCTCTGTCTGCTAGTTGATACATTTTTGCTGGAATTTCAGATGTAAAACAGTCTTTTTCTGTGTTAGATGGTAAGAAATTTCAATGCTATTTGTTGGCCAGTGTTAACCTGTTTTAACTGTATAAAATCATACTTTAAATTACATGAGTTCGTTTAGCAAAATTTAGAGCATAGAAGTAATGCTGGCATATGATTTTTATTTTGAGCTGCCTTAATTAGAGAGACGGTTGAGCCAACAGAAATTATTATTACTATTGTTTTTACTTTTTTTTCTTTTAAAGAAAAATTGATGCTTGCCCACGTTAAGATCATGTCCCTGCTTCCTGGCACATGGTGATATAATGGCTTGCTTACTTGAACACGAGCTATGGAAATCTGCATCTGATTTGGTTTTGTGTTTTTTTTTTTAGTCCTTTTGTGCTATTTGCTTTTGTATTGCCCCTTCTTTCCTTTGTTAAAGGGCAGAACACTAGTGATGACTGACTTTATCTGCACTTATATGCCTTGGGGAAGGGGGTCTGAATTCTTTCTTTTATGCATTATTTATTTGGTTATTGTTTCGCAGGCTTTGTGCTTGACCCTTCAAAATGCAGTCAGCTAAGCTTGGAAGAGAGAAGAGAACTTGTTCGTGAGATTGCCCAATGGTCAAAAGATGCCCCCGAGGTTCTTAATTCATTCACCCGCAGGGAGCTTCTTGAAATTATTTGTGCAGAGATGGGTAAACAAAGGAAATACTCAGGATATACCAAGTTTCAAATGATAAAGCACCTTTTAAAGTTGGTTTCGAAGACGTCCAAGAGGAGCAATATAGATAATATTATGGCCTTTTCTCCTCCCAATCCTCAAGCTGGATTTAAAAGGCAAAGGAAGAAAGAATCTCAACTTCACTTATCAATTGACCTAAATCTTGCTTCTGTAAAGAATAACAGTGAAGAACACGTTAATATCCAAATCTGTGAAAATGCTGCATGCAGAGCTACCTTATATCCTGGCAATGCTTTTTGCAAAAGATGTTCTTGTTGTATCTGTCATTACTACGACGATAACAAGGACCCTAGTCTATGGTTAACCTGTGGTTCTGATTCCCTTTGTGAGAGATCATGTGGACTTACTTGCCATCTAATCTGTGCTTTGAAGGATGAAAGGACTGGAATTATGAAGATTGGTTGTCATAAGAAGTTAGAAGGAAGTTTCTACTGTGTTTCGTGCAGACAAGTTAATGGGTTAATGAGGTAGGAGGCGCTTTTTTAATTTTCCGTTCTTTTTTACTCCCTAGACACTCATGATTGATTAATTGTTGTTTAGCTATGAAAAATTTGTGCATTTCTTCATATGCTCTAAGAATGAGCTCCATCTCAAAGTGGTCCGGCATCCAATGAGGGTTGCACATGCTAAGAAAGTCATGCTGGTAGATTTACTGATAATCCCTGGTTGCATGTTTGGTGTTTACAGAAACTGGAGAAAGCAATTGTTGGTTGCCAAAGAGGCCAGAAGAGTTGATGTATTGTGTCAACGAGTCCTTTTGGGTTACAGGATGCTCACAGGAACTGAAAAATACAAGGAACTGCAGAAGAGCATGGAAACTGCCTTGCGACTGCTGAAGAATGAATTGGGGCCTCTGGATCTGGTGTGTTCAAAGATGGCACGAGGAATTGCTAACAGACTCTCCTGCGGTGCTGAGGTTCAGAAATTGTGTGCCTCTACAGTGGAAGCTTTTGATTCAATGTTTGCTGACAATTATCATGCTTATCTGGAACAGAATGAGCTAATATGTAAGTTCCTTCTCATAGTTTCAAGTTTCGATCAATCTAATGAGCATATGTACGGAGATTATGCTGTGGTTAATGGTTGATAAAATGGTACCGTAGGTCCATTCTTCATTTTTGAAACGAAATGAGAGGTCTGGCATTTAATTCTTTTGAAATTTGTTTTCAGCTCGTCAGATTCAATTTGAAGAATCTTCCCCCAGGCTACAAGCAGGGAAGGACATCGACAAGAACAAGAATGAAGGGATAAGCAGTGGATCGCTCTCTCCTTCCACTCCTTGTAAATCCAATGGCATGCAAGAAGTATTAAGTTCAGATTGCAAAAAGCGAATAGACGAGAGTGCTTATGAGTATTCTGTGAGAGTTGTCAAATGGTTAGAGTTTAGAGGGCACATAGATGAAGATTTCAGAGTAAAATTCCTTACTTGGTTCAGCCTGAAAGCAACAATGCAGGATAGAAGGGTGGTCAATGTTTTTGTGGACGCTTTGATTGATGACCCACGAAGCTTAGCTGAGCAGCTCATTGACACCTTCATGGACAAGATATGCTACGACCAAAAACTAGTTCCGAGGCACGGGTTTTGCACTAAGCTGTGGCATTAAATCATGTAAACAGGAACTTTTAGCCATGTTTTCCATAAAGTCATCTAGGATTTTTGTAGTCGGAACAGGAAAAATGGTCGAGCAAGATGAATGTGCTCTAGCTGCTCAACTTAGTTATTAGATTCAATTAATGTTATTTAACATGCATACGTTGCACAAGCATACTTCTACAGGATCGCCTAAATAAAACTTTTGTCCTCCGCATTAAATTTGATGATTATCCAGGTGAGAATTATTAATGATACTGTTAAATCCATCAACAAATTTAGTATTCTCACCACTTGTTTTTTTGTTTTTTTTTTTAAATTACCAATACATTCATCTATCAATGTTTAGTACTATATTCTAGTTAAATACGTTTTATATCAATTATTTAAAATGATCCTCCACATTTTTTCTTTTGGGTATTTAAAATACTCATTCACATTTTTACTTTTTTATTTCTATTTTTATTTTTATATATATCTAATTTATGAATATTTTAACTATTTGATATAAAACATATCTAACTCGATAAAGTAATAAACCTTAATAAGAAGAGTGCGTTAATAATTTTTTAAAAATAAACGGTGGAAATAATAAATTTGATGGTGAATTTATCAATATCTACTTATCAATATTCAGGAAAATGATTCTCGATTTGTAAAGAAAACATCTTCTTCCAGACTTCTGCACTAACTTGCATCAACCATGTATTCTGTTGATTTATATGGTTTACGCTTTTGTACGCGTTGGTTGTGAGGAAAAACTTTATATGGTTTGTGCTTTTTATACGGGTAGGTTGTGAGGAAAAAAACTTTATATGATTTGTGCTTTTTATACGGGTAGGTTGTTAGGGAAAAAATTGAAGACATAAAGTAGAATAAATGTTGCTAAAAATAATATTTTATTAAGCATTAAAATAAAAATTCATGTATTCTCTTGCTTTATATGGTTTGTGCTTTTCTACCAGAAGGTTGTGAGAGAAAAAATTGAAGACTTATTAATAAAATGAAAAATTATTACTAAAAAAATGTTTTATTAAGCATTAAAATAAAATAAAATAAAATATCGATGGTGACGTGTAAATTCACAGTACTTGACTGTAGATCGCGCTTCACGAAATTTTTTGAAATAGACTCAAAATAAACAACAGCTGGCTCCACAATGGCTATGAATTACCAAACTGATCCTAACTCCACCCTTGTTCAGATTTTGTAGCCCGAAGCACAGTAGGCATCAAGTTCTGTGCAATACCAATGCTCCACCCCCGCGTCTGAACACCAAGAGAAACGACCACAACAACAACAACCAGCGGTGCTCAAAAACAGCCACCGTCGCAGACCAAGCCTCCATGAATGGTCGTATCTTCTGGTTTTCGCAAGATAGATTGGTTAGGAAATTATTGGAATTAGTACTTTAAAGGATGAATTGCATAGCTCATGCTGTGCACGGGAACAGAGGTTCCTCAAGCTGTAATCTTGATTTTGGAAGAACAGATTCAGGCGATCTATAACATCTTCTGGGTAATCGATGGTGGACGTTAGATCAATTGTGCTAGTGCTCTGGACCTAAATAAAATAAAATAAAATAGGATACTGTTGAACTGATGCATTGATAAAGCAGGGACCACCAACTTTCTGGCGATTAAAAAGGTCCACCTCAAAGCCTGGAGGCCCTATAATAGGTGGTCAAATCATGCTTTTGCTCCAACTACTCTTCACAGTTGCCATTTATAGGGCGCAAAACCATGTCAGTCATTGTTGCTATTGCAGAGGCAGTTCCATCGAGAGAATCACGTCTGACTTACACGACCTACTAACAGCAGTGAGCGGACAATGGCTCAACAACTGGGATTGAGACATCTTTCGTTTTCTAATCGAATTTACGCTAATTTAGTGGCTAATAAAAATAATAACAAATTCAGAAAAGGATCCATATCCATGAAAATGTGCTTCAAATGCCACACCTGTTTTAAGTAATGCGCTTAGAATGTTTTAAAGAAGTCGTTTAGATAACTCTACCATACAGATGCCATGCACCCACCACCACAAAACCAGCAAGGATAAATTGTACACAGAAGCAACTCCAAGGATGCGGTTAAAGAATTTGCCATATAAATTTTCTTAGGATTCAAAATTCTTTATTTTAAAAGCCATGTCCAGTGAACCTCCCTGTCCCAGGAGATCATTCTTGAGAGAGCATAACAAGATTTACTATAAAGAAATTCGTCTCAAATGTCAAAGAAATTTCCAATAATTGTAAACATAATTAGTAGAGCAAGTCAACCAAATGTCGACAGCGAGCTATGTTACAGGGGTTTCATATGCTGACAGCTGGGTAATAAGTTGGGCAAATTTAAAAAGTTCCTTTTCACAGTGTTGCAGGAAACTTTCTGGAATGGTGCCTTCAGCATCTGAAGATAGCGAAGTAGAAAACAAAAAAAGGCCATCCTCTGGCTATGATCCCATAGAGGCCTGTTTGGCTTGGCAATGATTCCATTACTTCATTCGGAATAACGGCTATGATCCATTTTTGGTACCAAGTTTGCTACTGCAGGCGAAGAGGCATTCCCATTTCATGAGCAGCAGTCATCCACTGGATGCATTATTGGCCGCTTCATTGAATGAGGCAGCAAGGTATTCAGCAAGGCTTTGTCCAGAAGTGGACTTTGTAGAAGACTCAGAAACTCTTGGTTTCTTCATGCTAATAGATTTTGGAAGCCAGGAATTTGAAGGGCCAGATCCATTCAAATTATTCCCCAGATCATCTAGTCCCCTCCACAAAACAGGTTCTAGATGCTGCCATGGGTCTTCAACCATCGAGTTGTCATAAAAACAATCTGGCCCCAGTGTTTCATTTGGTGCAAAGCCACGAGAACGAAAACCTTGTCCTCTTCCACCACTCCATCCAAAACCTGAATTGCTATGCCAGTGCTCCTGGCCTCTCCCTGAACTAGCTGGACTCCCTCGATAACCTGAAACGGGGGATGGACTGCTCCCTACCAGTCCAGAGCCAGGATTCCCTTGACGAATGGGATATGGACTGGAGAGTCCTATGTGAGGAGCAGAGCTATAATAGCTTGTTGGGCCATCTGATCCACTCCACATTTCAGTAGGAGGTCCTTGATTCATGGGAAAAGGACTAGCAAAACCTCTTGGGCTTCTATAGGAAGCAGTATTGTGATATGGACCTCGCCCTCTATACATTCTCTGGTTGGGTGAATAATTGCTTTGCATTTGATTCGCAGGTGAATAATTGTTTTGCATTTGATAAGCACGAGAGGGAGTCACTTCAGGGTTCATTTGACCTGCCAAGAAGAAAAGAGACTATCATAAGTTTCTAGAGATTGTCTACCACCCTGATAGAGCAACATGGTAAAACCACGTCATTTTTCTTAATCACAATCAACTAAAAATTAAGAAAAAAATATCATCTAAACATTTTAAATGAGTTTAGGGCACGTAATTCAACAAAAAAAAAAAAAAAAAATTCCATCCATAAACAACATGTCATAATGTTTTCAGGCAGCCGAGTTCTCAACTCAGCTACAAGCTAACAATAATGATCTACTTGAAATTTCCACACTGCAAAATAACATCTCCATACCTCCTTCGCAAAGCGGCTTTTGGCCACATTCAATTGAATGCCCCTTGAGCTGCAGGCAGCCAAGAGTTACTTTGATTTCTAATTAATATCTCAAAAGTTTCATATGACGTCTATAACACACAGAAAGGGGAAAGCGCCAAGAAAATTGCAATATGCTTATAGAAAAAGTAACTCTTTACATGGAACCAGTTATATCTCTGAAATAGTTAATTCATCACTCTCTGCTAATGAAAAGATCACATATATTTCATCACCGTGATCCTTTATTTGCTAACCCTCAAATCAACAAAAATCAAACATGAATTGTTTCCATAGATGTTTGAACAAAAATAGCTGTTAAAGCAGCATTCTACCTGGACGGGGAGGAAAAAACCGGGGCATATAAGAATTATTACTTGGAGGTGTAAAATAACCTCGTGCAACCTGGTTACCAGTAGCACTCCTCTTTCGGTTAGCAGAAAATGCTGCTGAAGGGTCTGTATAAAAATCAAACCTTGGAGTCGCACTAGATTCCTCCCTTGCCAGATTTGCAGGGCTCTCAAGAAGCGGATTAGCAAGCAAACCTTGCACATCAGAAGTTTCACCATTATTAGAAGTTTCAGCCTGTGCAGCTATTGCGCGCATTAATTCCAATCTTTCCCTTCTTTTCTCTGAATCCTCCATTTAACCTAATAGAATAAACATCCTACTGGTTATGATTAGTTGTAAAAAGACATTCCCGTTAAATTCCAGATTCTTAAAACCCCAAAATAATCGCTAAACAGAATTTTAAACAGAAATAAAGCTTATAAATAAATCGCTAAATACCAAAGAAATTAAAAGATGGAAAAGAAATCTCAAACGCAAGAAGAAAAAGCGATATTTTTAAGTATCAATACAAAATTTCTGACTTTGAGACAAGTACCTGAAATTGATAGCTCTTTCTGTTACCAATAAACCCTAACACGAGAGATTGCAGTTTTAGATAGCAAGCAAAATTTTGAAAGTCTTTTACAACCGAGCAGCAAAACTGACGAAAAACGCAGTGTTTTTCTTTTTCTCTGAAAACCGGCGGGTTTGGTCGGTTGAACGACGAGTAGTTAAAAACCTGCTCTGCTGAAAATGGATTTGAAAGCCCAAACTAATTTAAAAATGGGCTTTGTATTTCAATAGAATACCTGGTCGTCCAAATTGGAGTCTTAGCTGGCTAGGCCCATTTGTGACCTTGTGAGCCTGAGTTTTGAGATTAATTTTGTCGAAGAAGTATCTGCGAAAACCTCAAATCGAACGGCTATGATTTCTCTCATCCACCAAAACAACTGTGCATGCGAGTTTTCGCTATATAAAAAAAAAAAACAGAGGCAGCCAAAATCCAGTACCGAAGCTACTGTGCTGTCTCTCTGTTTCACATCCCTTGTTTCGCCGTCTACAGCAGCGAAATTATCCTTTGATCAAACTTGCTCTCACACTTTTCTTGCAATCTAGTGGAGACCAAACACAAACTGAGAGCGAATAAGTATTATAACCATGCCCACCAACGAAGGATTCTCAGGTATATATATTTTCTAGAGCTCTTGGGTTTTATTTTAGAGCCATTTATTTTCTGTTTTTGTGTATAAGGGATACTGTTTTAAGAAGTCGGTTGTTGACTGCCTTATTGTTTTTTTTTTTCCCTTTAATTAAGTTAAATGAAATATTGATTATAATTAGATAAAAATTTCGGAAAGAATCTCCTTAGTCCTATTTCGAAAAAAGAAAAAAGAAATGTTGATTATACTATTCGCGAGGAAGACCATTGTCAGCTGGAGCTATTTTAACAATTTCAAAGTTTTGGCTGCTCGGGTCTTAAAGATTTAGAAAACGGTTGAACTAATTGGCATGTGTATTGTTAAACTAAGATGGCAGCATATGGATGCCCAGTTAAGATAAATGATTTGGTTAGTGAGATATTTTTCACTGGATATTTTCATGTAATGTGAGACTTATATTTGTTTTTTAAAATATTTCTTTCAGGTGTATCCAATTGCTATGTGTTCAAGAGTCGATTGCAGGAATATGCACAAAAAGCAGGCTTGCCTACTCCTGTGTATGAGACAATCAAAGAAGGTCCTTCTCATGAGCCATCCTTCAGGTCAACAGTGATTGTGAAGGATGTTAGATATGATTCTTTACCTGGTTTTTTCAATCGGAAGGCGGCAGAGCAATCAGCTGCTGAGGTTGCTCTCGTGGAGTTGGCAAAAGCTGGTGAAATTAATGAATCCACTTCTCAACCTGTTGTAAGTTTACTTCATTTCTACCAAATAATGAAAGTTCTAACTTCCTTTTGGTTCCATAATGTTATGTACTGTCTGATATAACACAAAAGGTCCTTGCTTTGATTCACTCTTTATCACTATGCTTCATGTTATAAACATTTTTAAAGCTTGTGGCTTCAGATTTGAACTTACGTTAAACATTCTTCTTCTTTGTACTAGTTAATTTTGTTGCATGAACGGCCATCACTGAACTTCTTGGAGGCCGCAAAATGCCCAAGCAGCAGTAATGTAACTAAATAATAGAATGACCATTATTATTTCCAACTGTTACTTTTGTGCTTCTGGTTTTGGAATGGACTTGAGTGTTAAAGTCTATTGGCATTCATAACTGCTTCTGTCTCGTTGAGAGACCGAATCGGATGGATAGGAGCTTGATTGTAGGGGATGCTGGGGCAGGTCAAAGGCTGAAAATTCTCTCTTAATAGGGTAGTTTAATTATTATTGACCAAAATTGGGTGTATTTATTTATTAGGTAGTCTCTATTATATGTACATGCTGGAAAAGAAAATATTAATTCTGAGCAGGAAGTCTCTTTTTGGCTGCCAATTCTCAAATTAAAATCATCTTGCAGTTGAAAAAGAATGGGTTAGTCAGCCAATGGCTATTACATTGCAAAAAAAAAAAATATATATATTTTCTTCCCTTTTTTGTCCCTTTTCCCCTAAGAACCACTGATTTCGTATGCAATGAAAGAAATTCTGGATCTCTACTTTTCTTGAAGTGATTAGAGTTGTATTAGATTTGTGTGTTTACAATTGATGGGTACCATTTGGTCTGTTAAAAGATATTTTTAATTGCTAAGTTAAGAAAAAATTCCATATGTTGCTTTTGAAAAAATATTCTTAACAAACAATTATGGTCAGGGATTGATGAATATCTAGATTTAAAATTCCAAAGTATTTCTAGTCTAAGGAATTGACAGGTTACAAAAATTAGGATTTATCTTTTGCGTGCAAGGTGTTTGTTATATTTCCATAGAGAGTGGAGATTGTATTTTGGGTTGTATTTTTTGTGGAGGAAAGGAGGTAGATTTTATTCTAAGTTGTTTCAGTGAAATGGAAAACAAAAAAATTGGTGAAACGAAAAGATAAAATAGAAAAGAAAAACAAACAATGAAAAGTTACATACAGGCTAAAGGGAACTGAGTAAAGAATTGGAGAGATTAATGTGAAATTTCATGCTGTTAAACTGCAATAATTTTTTCTTTATTTCTTAATCCACATAGATAATAATTGTATATTTTGATGTTTATGCGGCAAAAACTACCATATTTTGGGAAGTAAGTTTAAAACTTATCTATTGTGAGAAACGTGATTAAAAGCTACCCTACTTTGGAAAAAACTCTGAACTATTCGTAGTGTTCTCAACTATTTTTCTCACATTTTACCTTCATTTTTTCATCTTCAGCATGAAACAGGATTATGCAAGAATCTCCTTCAGGAGTATGCTCAAAAGATGAATTATGCAATTCCATTATATGTGTGCCTAAAGGATGAAACACCAGGTCGAGGACTCGTTTTTAAATGTACTGTTGAGATTGGGGGGATTCGGTATATTGGAGCATCAGCAAAAACCAAAAAAGAAGCAGAGATCAAAGCTGCTAGAACTGCTTTATTAGCCATCCAATCTAGTGGATCTGATAAACCAAGTGGTGACTCTCAATTAAGGGTAATTCCATGTAGAAAGAGAGGAGTTGAGGCTGGTGTTCAAGAGGAGACGGCAAATGTTCCCAAGCCTAAGAAGGCTCGATTTAAAAAGAAAATGTTAAAAAACAAAAACGCTGGGGACCAGATTGACAATGCTCAAAGTGAACGGACTGAAAACTTGGACACTATGGATGGTCAATCAGGATCAGAATCAGATAAAACTGATGGATCTGCCATCCAAGGAGCAAATTGCAAACCTCAAGCAATGGGAACAACGATGACTGTCCAAGCTGGGAAATCAGACACCGACTTGAATGAGAGAGAAACATCCGATAGTAAAGGTGCTTTGACTTCTCATGATGCTGTTAGTCCTAAAAGTGGACAGCCAGCATCCCCAATTTTTAATCAAAGCAATCATGAGACTAGTGCTGAAATTTCAGCGGAGTCTAATGCAGGCACAGGTAAGGTTACTGGAATTATAGAGGTTGCTTCAATGGCAAACAACTCTGTCCTCGCTCAGATAGAGGCTTCAAATGCTTAAAACCCACAGAGATATAATTGAAATTGGTGCAAGCCAAGGGTAGGACATACTGGAAATATATGTTGGAGTTTAGTTGCGATTGCGTGGAGTTGGTTTTTTGATATAATATGGGTAGAAGGTAGTGAGAGTATGAATAAATTTACATTATGAGAATTTCAAGTACACTGGTTGATTAAGTTGTCCCAAAACATTGGTGTAGACGTTAAAAATTTGTTAACAATATTCGGCATTCTTTCCACTTCTCCATGGGTGTGCATTTACATGCATGGAATCTTTGGAGCGGGGATGAGGCATGAAGCATTTATATTTGCCCCAGGTATCTGGATTTTGAACTACTTTGATCAGCTCCTATGAAAGTAATAATTGGCAATGGTAGTTGATGAGGCTGCTGCATTTCTAATGATGATGCAGCGTGTATTATCATAATGAGCTGTGCTTTCTGGAATTTCTGAAACAGGGATTTGTCACGTGTTGTTGGGCTTGTAAACTTCCGAACCAGTTTCTTAGTCCCTTTAACTGTAGCAAATCTCGTCGTTGTTTTTTCATGAACAAATTATGATAAGGATGAGTTATGCTTTGTTAATTTTGTTATCACAAAACTCTCTTCTATCTTAATCGGCTCTGATTCTTTTTAAAAGCAATAAGGTCAATATGTCCATTCACAGCTGATACGTATGTAAACACCGCCTACCCACCTCGGGGGTGGGGGGTGGGGGGTGTGGTTGTGTGTGAAGAGGAGAAAAACACGAACTCAAATTGCCTGATGATTAAGGAGTTCGAATTTCAAGTTTAGACAAAGGCCTCATGAATCTCTATTCTCAAGTCCCAAAAGCTGCTGTTTTTTCTTTCCACGGGATCAGTCCGATAAAAAAAAAGATAGCAAATTATAAACTAGTCTCTCTGTCTAGAGAAATGAATTAATTAATCTCTTTTATTATAAAAATTAATTATTTAATTTTTATATTTTTAAAGGATAGCAAATTATAAACTAATCTCTCGGTTTAGAAAAACGAATTAATTAATTTTTTTATTTTAAAAATTAATTATTTAATCTTTATATTTTTAAATAATAGTTTTTTTTTAATTTTTTGTTTTAAAAAAATAGAAAAAAATATGAAAAAATTAACGATAAAAAAATATTTTATAAAATAAAAATAATATTAAATTAAATATAATCAACATTAATTAAAAAAATTAAATTATAGCTTTTGAAATAAGATGAATTAATTAATTTATTTTTTGAAAATAGGGAGACTGATTTAAAATTTACTGAAAAATATTATTACCCCACTGTAAAACTGAAAAAAAAACAAAACAAAAACAAAAACAAAACAAAAAGCTAAGGATGAAATCTCGTTTTTACTTTTCATATTAGTTCTTGAACTCCAAGCATGGCTCTAATCTGTCAAAACGCGATTGGAGGCGTCGTATCGTTGACTAACTTCCCCTCGTACTCTCCTATACTCCATCTTAGTAGAGTTCAAACCCCTCTTTTTCCTGGTATCTTCTCTCTGTGAACTCTTCTAGGCAAAGAAAATGCACGGGCGGCCTCGCAAAGCCCTGAAACCTGAAGATTTAGCTGCCTCCGCTGCCAAAGCTGAGAAACTAAGGATCCTCCAATCTCAATTCCTCTTTAATCACCACCAAAAAATGTATTGTCGTTTTCATTTTTTTTTTCACTTTTGTCTTAAGTTGAAAAACCCTATCAATTGACCTTGTTGTTGTGTCTTTCTTTCTTTTTTCTGCTCGCAGTTATACGAAGGAAGCTTTAGAGCTAAGCGGAAAACTTTTAGAGATCAATCCAGAATGTTACACTGCTTGGAACTATAGAAAACTCGCTGTTCAACACAGTCTCATAGAGGCCAACTCGGATCCTGACTCTGTCAAGTCATTTCTCGATCAAGAACTTCAATTGGTCCGTGTTTTTCTTAAAAAAAATAAAATTAAACCTCAGATTGATTTTCGTTTTCTGTTCAATTAAAGTTAACGATTATAACTACATATGTTTAGGTCGAGAATGCGCTGAGGCAAAATTTCAAGTCGTACGGAGCTTGGCATCATCGTAAATGGGTGCTAAATAAAGGGCATTCTTCTATTGAAAAAGAGTTGAGGCTTTTGGACAAGCTTCAAAATGTCGATCCTCGGAATTTTCATGCCTGGAATTACCGCAGGTGAAGACCTGGCTTTTAGGTTTCATAATTTTGTTTATTGAACTATATTTTATTTGAAGTTCTTTTTTTGGTTCTTCAGGTTCGTAGCGGCATTATTGAATAGATCCGATGAAGATGAACTGAATTACACACAGGATTTCATTGATAAGAATATTAGTAATTATTCTGCCTGGCACAATCGAAGGTATTATAATTAGTTTATTTGTTTTTTATCCTAATTTGAGCCTCAAGTATTATGGCATTACATGAGATATTAAAGCTGGAATTGTTTACCGATTCCTTATGAATGCAGAGTATTTACACCTGTTTATTGGTATTATTTATACGAAATAGAACTCTGAAATTCAGTCCAGGAAATAGAAAGAATAGGATTTGGAGGAGTTTGTTTTCTAGGTCATTGAGGTTACTTTTCGTGGAACTTTTAGAGATTTTCTTGCCGTTGTTCTTAAACCATGCACTATGCCGATGTTCATGCCTATTTTTTTTATAGTGCGTATATATGTAAACATCACATCCTAGTTCTAGTTGGTTAGTGTGTTTACAATTGTTGGGAAATTTTATTAGTGTTGTTCTCTTAATGAGAGACTTTTGCAGTGTGCTTTTGTCTAGCTTGATGAAGAAAAATGTTCAAGGATTTTCACAGAAAGATGAGGTTTTGACCAGGGAGTATGAATTGGTCCGTGAAGCTGTTTTTACAGATGAAGATGATCAAAGTGGTTGGTTTTACCATCGTTGGCTACTTGATCAAACTGTTAAAGCTGAGTCTCCTCTACTAGATTCTTCATGGCCTGCTCATGGTTCTGATATTACTCTATCAGGTGATAGGTGCCTAGATTTGGGTTCTTCTTCTCCATTAAACAATTACCAATTTGATTCTGGATTGCTTCCTCTCATTCTTTACTTTAATCAGGCTGTTGAGGGTGTAAACTCATCAACAGTCACTTTTTCGTCTGGATTTAACATGAATAAGGATGCAATTTGGAAACCTCTATCATCAAATAACTTTAAAACCGCCCAAGTTTGGGTTGCGCAATTAAAGCTTCCCAAGGTGGAGCTTGACTCTTTACAAGCTTATACCATAGAGGTTACCGTTGGACATTCTCAAGGAATCATTTCTTCTAGTGGTCACTATTGCCGTCCTTCCGAGTTTGCATTTACAGTGCGTGTACAACATCTCAAAACAAAACAAGCTGAAGGGTCAGGTTTAGAGAAGATATCATGGGGAGATGAAAATTTTCACATTTATGAGTTTGATTCCCTGGAATCGAATTTAGTTATTCCTCTCAACCACCCAAGTATCCAGAATGAACATGAGTCAGCAGATTCCTCTTGGCAAGCAAAAATTATAGATGAAGAAGTAAATAACTTCCGTGAATTGTTGGACTGGTGAGCCTGCTTTATTTGATGGGCAACTAATGTGTTTGAAAAAGCTTATATTGCTAAGCCTGTTTATTATCTTCTATTTTTTGTAGTAAAATTGGAAAACTTACGCTTGCCAGACTGTTGACTGCTCGTGATGCATTGATGTCTTTGGATAAATCAGTCCATTCTGATGAAGTTCTTAGACTGTTAAGTGAATTAATGAAGTTGGATCCACCACATTCTCGATTCTACAAGGATGAACACAGCTTGGTTTTATTAAAAAAGGTGATCTTCCTCTTTCAAGGTCTAATGCACATGAAACCATAGCTTCAGGTTTTGAAATGCACATGATGTGGTACTAGATATTTTAAATTCTGGAGTGTGAGAAAGTGATATTTTTAAGTCAACCTGTGTATTTGTTCTTGCTCGTTAGATTAGCTGAATGAATTGTTAATTACAAGAATGAGATAAAATTAGTTACTGAACATCATTGGTGTTTTATTAGAGATACAAGTATATCTTTGATTTTTTTTTTTTAATGGTGATTAAAGGGGATCTGGTTATGATTAAATATTTCGAATTTTACTTGATCAAAATTTGATGCTAGTCACCAAGTTTCACGCGAGGCTGACAGACATCTCTTTTCCCACATGATTCTGCAGGTGACTTCTAGCAGGGAGTCATTGTTGAGTTATTGCTTTCGCTATAGGAACTTAGCTTCATCAACCAGTGTCAATCCCATCTGCCTAAGACTCAATGGATTATCATTATCACGAGTGGGGTCTTTTGAGAAATTATTGTGGGTCCAAATGTTAGACCTCAGCCAGAATGAGCTTCGATCAATTGAAGGTAATAATGCTGCTTTCAATACTTAGATAGATCATTAGCTGATTTGCCTATTTGAACTGCTTGCACTCTTATCAATTTTTATCTTTCTATGTGTTACTTGAGAAACGAGCAATATATCATCATTTAATTTATTGTACATGGTGACAGAGATTTCCACTTTATATTGAGAATCCTCTTTATTAAAAAGTTTTGAAGTTTCAGTTGACTCTTCCTAGTCTGCCTGATTTATTCTAGTGCTTAATAAGCTCGTTGTTTACTTGATTGAAATAAATTTATTTTCTGATTTTTGGAACTTGTGGCAGGTTTGGAGGCCATGCAACTTCTCTCACACTTGAATTTGAGTAAGAATAAACTTGGTAGTTTTACTGCTCTGGAGCCTCTGAGGCACTTGAAGTCAATGAAAGTGTTAGATCTTTCATACAACGAGATAGGTACTCACACTATTGATTCAACAAGATATCTGTGCTCTTCTCCTTTGTCTCATTCAGTCGGAGGGGAATGGGATGACAGTGAAATTGTGACTGATGGTGTGAGTTTGGCAAACTATTGGGAAGCTTTTTTAATTTTGAAAGGCTTGAAACTGACTCAATTAGACATAGCAGGGAATGCAATTGCTGATGAGAAATTTACAGCATTTCTGGCAAAGGTCCTGCCTGCTCTCAAGTGGCTGGATGATGTACAATTGAACTGAGTTTGATTTATAGTAATTCGCTTTGCTTCGAATCCTGAAGTATATGCCATACTTGTGTGGCTGAATATTTAAGCTCCTTGTTTAATGTGTTACTCAGACCCAATACGTGCTTTGGCTGATTTGGATTTGGCATATGATGTTCGTAATGACTATGGCTTATTCTCAGGGGGAAAAAAGTTCGTTTTGCTTCAAACATTCATCCGTTTCCTGTACTCTGGCATTTAGAAGAGAAGTGGGGTGAGAAACTTGTGATGGCAAATCAAATGTAGTTGAAGTCAACTAAATAATTACACGGATCAGTCAACAAAGTATAATGGAGATATTTTGATTGCCAGGATGATGAATACATTGTGGATTTTGTTTCCCAAAGTGATGGAGACATCATAGATACTCAACAAAATGCTTTTAACTACACATTTATATAAGAAGAGATAAGTAAAGGTGTACTAGTAAGAGTAAACAAATTCATGAAGCCTGTAACTTGAAATTACAAATCCAAAAATGCACTGACCGTTACTCACTCTGAATTGGTTCTGATAGTCCTCTCCATAATTCTTTTCTGATCCAACCAAAAGGCCTAACAAGGCAAGGACAGGGACGGTTCTGTTCGTTTTACTTGATTTCGAAGCCATTGTATCTTGAAATTCTCTTTTCCTTTGCACCTTCTCTTCGCTTGTCTTCTGGCACTCTTTGAGAAGCTATGATAATGTAAAGGACGCAGTTATGCTTTTTCAAGCAGCTCAAAGCCTCCGATCGCGCATAATAAGAGCGGAAACCGAGTCAGTTTGTTAGTCACGCATCAGCATCTTTTTTAGATTGACAGCGAGAAGCTTCTTTGGTCAAAACCAGATTAACAAAAACTCTAATGGCTGCAGAGGTATTTTTACTTTTTTATTTGTCTTTATCCTGTCTCTTCACTCTTTTTTGTCTTAAGTTTATTCCTCTATATTTGTTTTCTGTTTTAATCTGGTTCTTTTATTAATTTTTAGATTAATGATGTTAATGTTTTTTATTATGTCTTAATCTTACCCTTCTACTTTAATTTTTTGTCTTAATTTTGTTTTTTAATCGAATTTAAATAAATAAATTTTGAAAAAAAAATAGAAAAAAAAATGAAGAAGATATATCTGGTCGTTCTTTCAAAAAATTAAAAACAAAAAGTGAAGCTAAAAATATTTTTTTTATCTAAAATATCTTTTATGGGTTTGAATTTATTTATATGATACTAAGCAAATTTTAAGTATGGAATAAAATATTTGTAGTGTTTTTTTTTCTATTGTGAAGATTTTTAGTTAAATTTTTAAATGGTATATACAATTTTAATAATACCTCAAAAAGTCTAGCATGGTTTACTTATTTTGATTTTATAAATTTCTTAATCTGATTCAAAAGTGAGAATATAAATTTTGTTACAAATTTTAGTCAAATTAAGAAATTTGTTGATATTAGTTCCAATATTAACAAAACTTTATATTCCTACTTTTGAATCAAATTTTGAAATTTGTAAAATCAAAATAAATAAATTATAATAGACTTGTTTGAAATATTACAAAATTATAAACAATTCAAAAATTTAAAATTTAACTAAAATTCTCTTAACTTTTTTTAAAAATACATTAAATATTTTATTTTATACTCAAAATTTACTCACTATCACATAGGTATATTTTAAAAAATATATACTATAAATATTTATTTTATAATCAAAATTTGTTTACTATCCTAAAGACAAATTTAAATTTATAAAGGATATTTTGGATAAAAATATTTTTATCTTTATTTTTTAATTTTTTTAAAGAGAATGACTGGATATATTTTTATTTTTTTCTATTTTTTTTAAGTTTTCAAAAAAAAATTAAATTTGATAAAAAAATAATAATAAGACAGAAAATAAAATAAAGAAATGAGATTAAAGCTGAAAAAAAAAGTTAACACAATTAGTTTAAAAAATTGTCAAATGATTAAGATAAAAATCAAACATACAAAATAAATTTAAGACAAAAAAAAAAAAAAGAACACGATAAAGATAAAAAAAATGATAATAAAAAACCTCTTCAACTATTAACCCATTAATGGGATATAGAAATTTATTAATTACGCTCCTCAACCAAACTGCCTCAGGATATTGATATAAACATGGTCACGCAAACACTGAGGCTGCATTTTCTAATCAAGATGATAAAGAAGCTAAAATTTTGGGCTTGGTCATATGATTGTAGAAAAAAGTTGTTCGTCGCTAAGGTTCTGCTATATTCAAGTCTTGTAAAACACGGTTCAAGTGTCAGCCAACCCTCGTTATCTAAATCATTCACTGGCAGTGGCTGAAGTGCAACCAAAATCTATGAAATTAATGTGCGCTTGCCAATTTGCATTTTTTCCTGGTAGATTAACATGCACCTGATTGTGCATTAAATAAAGGATTTCTTAGCAAAGATTGTGACGCAGATGTCAGAAAAAAGACCATTTAAAGCTTTGTTTGAAAGAATTGTTGGCAGTATGTTTCCAATATTCCATAACCCATTTGCTTCTTGATAGAGTCATAAAATTGAAAGCCAAAAAAAAATTAAAAATTGTAGCACTACTTTTTATTTTTTGAACGCGAACAGTTTGGCACCATTTTTTATTGTGCCCTCCACTTGTTAACGTCTTACATATCTAACCTTTAAACCGCCACGACCCCACCCCTTCCCTCCCCCACCCCAACCCCAACCCCAAGTCCCCAACCCCCCACCCATCCACCCCCTCCCTTCTTTTCTAGGCCTATATGGTCCCGAGGTTTGGCTCAACGTCCATTACAGCGCCACAGGAGTGCACAAATATTCTGGGCTTGGCCCATATTTAGTTTAAACAAATATGCTTTGCCGATCAAAGGAAATCTGTGCCCCCAACAAGTTCAATTCGTTATCGGATCCAACACATTCTGAAACACCATGACAGATTATCAACTGATTTGCATCTATAACTTTCATCAACTATATTGTCAAAACAGAAATTTGAATTCATATAGACAACACTGATAAATCTGTCTTCCAAATCCAAAAAGTATCAACAAATGCAGTTTATTTCTACTTATAATTTTTGTTCATGTCATTTATTAACAGAACATGGCGGTTTACCATATACGAGAGTAGAAAATTAATCTTTAATTATCGATTTTAAAACTAAATTATACACAAACAAATTTGGCAAAAGTTTTAAGGATAAATGGTATATAACAAAATTTTTAATATGTCCCTATGTTCTTAATTGGGTTTGTTATGTTTTTTTACATGTTCTTATTGTCCAATTAGCACTAATGAGTATTTTTCCGAACAAATGTTCATGTATAGATCACATGACTAAAATTTATTCTCATAATGACTCTGACTTAAATGCATGAAAAAAAAAGAAGACAGGTCTTAAATAGATATGTTCTTATTATTTTAATTGTATCTATTTTGTCCATGTGTATTATTTAATTCTTCAATGTATTTTTTTATGATGTTTTTCTTTCAAAATTGATATAATTATAGTTTTTATTCTGAAAATACCCCCAAGCTATACAATAATATATTTTAATTTTTTAAAATTTTAATGGTTTAGTAATTTTGAAAATTCCTATTTTTTGAAATATTTTGAGTAATTTTGAAAAAAAATTTCAATATATCCTTATATAGCTCAAGGATAATTTTAGAATTAAAAAAATATAATTTTATTAATTTGAATGAAAAAACTTGACTGAAAAGCATATTGGAGGATTTGATATTTTATAAAAACGTAATAGATACAATTAAAAATATAACATATTAAAATATATTGGAGGATTTGATATTTTATAAAAACGTAATAGATATAATTAAAAATATAACATATTAAAGACTTGTCTTTTTTTTCTGAATTTTAGTCAAAAACATTTTGCAAATAAATTTTGATCATGTGACCAATATGTGCGCATTTGTTTGGAAAAAAATAATAATAGAAGGACTAATTACACAATTAAGCACTATACAAGAATTTAATAGAACCAATTTGAAAAAATAATAATAAAAGGACTAATTAAATAATTAAACACTATACAACAGTATAATAGAACCAATTGAACAATTAAACACTATACATAAATATAATAGAATCAATTAGACATATTAGAAACTCCTATCATATAAGTACAATTCCATCTATTTGCCTAAAATTTAATATTAATATAATTCCTCCTTTTATTGCAACAACTGTCCTTATGGAACTCATCTTCATAAAACAATGCTACAATATTGAAGGCTTACGATTAAAGTTCGATATAGCCACAATTTTGAAGAGGGAAAAAAAAAGGGCATTACAAGCTGGAGGCCAAGCAATCCAATGTGTGCCTCTCATCTTCCAAACCTCATAGCATTCACCAAACAAACAAAACACTGTTCATTCTTTCCTTCTTTGGGAATTCTCAGAAAGAGATGTTCGACTCAAGCTTTGGCATACGGAGAAAGAGGTGATCAGAAAATTGTAATGGCAACTCAATGCCTCTCAGACATTATCTGGCAAGGAACTTTCTGCCACAAGTAGAACAAGCTATATCCCTCGTTGGAAACAACAATCCAAGAATAAACTTTTCCGAGTAACATTATAATAACAAGTCATTGGACATAGATGAGATTGCTCGAGTAAATACCACCCAGAAGAGCATAGATGTAGTAGATTGTGCTGGCTGCAGGACTGACAAATATCTGAACTGCAAAGATTTTGCAGCAAAGAAATGTAGGAATTTGACCGTCAATGTGACGAATCCATCTTGAATTTTGATGCCCAAAGTAGTGGTAACATCGTAGATACTTGACAAGATGCTTCGAACTGCACACTTAGATTAGAGGAGATTAGTAAAGAAGTACTGATTTTAGGAAAGAAGTAAAAAAGCCATAAAATTTGGTTAGACATTTAAAAAGTGAAAAAGAAGTTCTATTTTCTCAGATCTAAGAAAGGACGTTCAACATTTGCTCTGTATTAGATAGAAGCTGACAGAAAAATCG